TGAGTAGATAATTAACAATATAGATGATAAGGATGAAAAGATAATCCAACTGAATCAAATACAGATTTTTTTTTTTTTTTAATAAGACATAACAGCTTATGTCAGTTAGAAATGGATTTTTGTTGCTGGTGTAAAAACGCTGGTTACTTCAGTTGTGGTCCCAAGTGGTAGCTCTTCTTATGTCGTCTTATTGTGCAATATGTGCATTCTGTACTTGCATGCGTGCGCGCACACACACACAGAGCAGGTAGTGTGTTACTTTGCGCTTATTCACCTGTTATCTGTAAGCGGAAGGTCTGTAACTTATATCAGTAAATTGACCTACTGCTGTAGATATATTGGTATGAAAACTGAACAGAAAAAATAGTATTTTTGCTTCTTCCTTTTTTCCACCTCTTTTTGTCTGACACACTGTTTTCCATTGTGAAGTATACCAAAGCCGTGTACAACTACCAAAAAGAATACTGCAAGTTTAACCTGTATCTTACTGGTACCTTTCTTCCTCCCTTTCTCTGTGTTTCATCTGACATAATATCTGTATAAAGACGTATGGCTTCTTTATATACACTAAGAAGCTGAAACAAGAGCATGTGAGTTAAAATATTTCTTGCAGATCAAGACTCATCTTGCCGATGGACTCTAATGAGCTATATATTTTTTTAAATCTGTTTACTTGTACTGATGCATTCTGTTAATCCTTTTCTTACCCTGCTGAATTTATCCAGTTCATTACTGCCAGTGGAAAAGCTCTTGTTCTTTTGGTCATGTTATTTCTTCCATGCTTGATCAAAATCATATAACCAGTTTAGCTCTCTAGACTGATAGCGTAAAACTATCTTTGAATTTAAGGAACTTCCAGATATAGATGAATAATTATCAAAAGAAAAAGGTTAGTTTTGATTACCTTGTCAGTTAAGAAGGTCATCTTTGTAGCTACCTCTCAATTCATAATGATCCACAAAAACATAAGAATTCTTTATTTTTCATTCGTTTAATTCAGACTGATGAATTTTATTCTTTGCATTTTTTTGTTGATTGATTTGAAATTGATTGATTAAGTGAAAGCAGTAGGATGAAAATTGGTTAAGATGATAACCATTTTAATTTCATGGAAGAAGCCGTTTAACGTCTTGGCTCTGACCATTCCAGGAATTGTTGATTTCTTTTTCCAAAAGTCAAAACAATTGAAATAGAACAATATATTTATTTTTCTTTGAACAGGTGCCTACCTTTAAATTTTAGAGCAGAAGACTTAGCTAGTGGAATCCTGCGAGAACGTGTAAAAGTTGGGGCGAGTTTGGCTGATGTTGACCCTATGATTGTTGACAAATCGGTAGGTTCTGTTATTTTGTTTTTCTTTTCCGCTATTATGGATAAGCAGAATTCACCACAGCCCTTGATTAGAGTTGAAGTAAATTCATAATATACTCATAAATCTTTTTGGATTATTCCAAAGCTGTTATCTGTTTATTACTTTGGGCTACAGAGCGCTTGCTTGTGGCCTCTGGGTAACCATCAGACTGCATGCATACAAATAAGCCAAAACGTCAAATTCCCAACCACATGTCTTCAGTTGCAGTCAGTGTTCCGTTACTTGTAGTAGTAGAAGCTGTGATATTCTGAGCAGTGGAAAAATCAAGGAAATGATAGTACTGATCACCTGGGCTTTCTAACTCCATGCTAGCCATGTTGTGGGTTCTGCGCAGACTTTATGCGGGACCTCTGTGTCCACATGCTCTCTCATTAGTCTGATAAAGGGAATGCAGTCCAGGACACCCGGCTTGGCTCAGCAAATAGCCTATTCAGAGACAACGGTGTATATTGTTTTAGGCTCTGTGACGTGAAGAAGCTGCTGAATTACTTGTAGACCTGAGCCGTTTTCTAGAAGTACTTCAGCTGCATTGGTTATGCTGTGCCTGAGCTTAAAAATGCTCTTGGACTTAGGCTGGATCCCTGTAGGTTTACAGGTGTCACTGGTGCGGTTAGTGTGTGAACCAGGTAAATCTCCTATGAGTAACTGAGAGTTGACTTTCTCAACTTTAGTTACACTTTCAAAATTCAGTGAACACCTATTTTAATATTTTTTATGAATACAATGTTATTTGTAATTTGTTTTCAAATATATTATTTCAAAAGTAAAAGTCTCTTTTGTGGGAAGCTGGTACTGTATTTTTTTTTCTTTTTAAGGTGCGTTTTGATAGTATAGGGGGATTGAGCCATCATATCCTTGCACTTAAGGAAATGGTAGTGTTTCCACTTCTCTATCCAGAAATATTTGAAAGATTCAAAATTCAGCCACCAAGGTAGGTGAATTTACTTGTTGCTGTATTTTTATTTCATTGAACTCTGAAGAATACTTTACTTGAAAACATATAGGAGACTAATTCTTCCCTGAAGTGTTTGTAGTTTAAGTAGACTTACATATGTGCTACCTAACTTATCTATCAGAATTCATAAGCAAGATAAAAATAAACTAGATTTTTGAAACACTTTATTGTGATATGAAGATAATCTTTTTTTGTGACTTCGTTGAAAGAATTACCAAGTTCGTAATTAGGTCAGCCGAAGTACTTTGCCTTTTTTCCCCTTTATGTTATTGAATGTGTGACTACATCAAACTAAATGCTGTTATTTTTTTTATAGACATAGTCTCAGTAATTTTATATTCTGGTTTCAGCGGCTGCTAATCAGACATTTTGGGGTGCAGTTTAAATGGATACACATAGGTTAAATAAATTGAAAATTTTTTCAGAAATTTTGGTCATTTAAAGAAAATACATCTCTCCAAAGAAGTAAGAAATAAGTAACTCAAGCATTACCTAAGATAAAATGTTTGAGGAGATATTTAAGTAGGGTAACAACAATCCTTTAAAAAATGAATATGCCTTTGATTAATATGCTCTACAAAGCAAAGATTTGAAAGCTTAGATTTTGTGACGCTGAATACAGTAAATAATAGTATTAGAACTTTAAGTCTTTCTTCTCCAGGCTCCCTGTCTTCATTATAAAATTTGACTTGGAGTTTTTCAGGAGACATAAAATAAGTTTATGACTGTGTTGATCCATTTATCTTCAGGGGCTGTTTATTCTATGGTCCTCCTGGAACAGGTAAAACCTTGGTAGCTAGAGCTCTAGCTAATGAATGCAGTCAAGGAGACAAAAAGGTGGCTTTCTTTATGAGGAAAGGAGCAGACTGTCTCAGTAAGTGGGTTGGTGAATCTGAACGTCAACTTCGACTCCTTTTTGATCAGGTTAGAAGAAAAGATATACTTTTCATTAATCTGTCTGTATATTATTTTGTTGTTGCTACAATGTGTTGGAGGCAGACAAAATTATTAGTAACTAAATATCTGTAAGTTTCCGTAGAAGGGCAGGATTTGTCAAAATTTTATGTCTAGATGAAGTAATAGAGGAATGCTGACAACGTTTTTTTGTATTGAAAACTGAAAAGAGAAAAATCTCCAGGCTTGTCCATTAATGAAACAACAATCAGAATCATTTAGTTAAGAATTGAAAAAAAAAAAAAAATCAAAAAAACAAAAAAAGCTTACATCAGGCAATTTGAATTTAACTGGCATAAAGGAGGATGCAGGTTTGCATCTGCTGTGTGTATATTTTAGTATCCGTCTTTAGCTCTGAAAATAATGGACAGAAGAGAGAATTATATAAAGCAGTGAAAAGTAGTTACTAAACAAGCACTTTTCAGACATAGATGTCTAAACAAACCGATTTTAAGCAGATAAGATACTGTTTTCTGTAACTCAGTTTAAAGTGTGTGTGTTTTGCTGTCTTGAATGTCTCAGATACACTGTAAAACTGATACACTGGTGCCATCTTGCTTATTCAGAGGAGAATGCAGTTTCTTTTACCTTGTCTGAAACAGTAACAGTACCATAGCTGAAAGTTCAGATTTGTTTTCAGACCTTTCACCTTTTAACAAGTGGCTCAATATAAGTGTAACTGTTTAGCATGTTGATGTTTTACAGTAAAAACAAGTTATTTCAGTGTTGATGGAGAAATTATGAATTAACAGTTAATTCAGTTTTTCTGCGTGCCAGGCATACTTGATGAGACCCTCTATAATCTTCTTTGATGAAATAGATGGCTTGGCCCCTGTTCGTTCTAGTAGGCAAGATCAGATTCACAGGTAATACTTCTAATATGTTATCAAAGGTGCACACTATCATGGTAACCTCCAAATGGCATTTTTCATTCAGTTATTGAGAAAGGTGGTTGTTGTTCTTTTTGTTTTTTTTTCTTAAGCCAAGTTACACTAGAAAAGCCAGATCGTTGAGGATTTTTGATACGGAAAGTTGCCTTTTCAGCTGTTTCGGCAGAGCGTGATATACTGGGAGTGGAATTGTAGTGGAAATTACCCTACAACCCAGGGTTGGAAAAAACATTGATATAAAGATTTCCATAGCCTTCCCTTTCGTTGCTGGTTTTCTACTGTAAACCGACTATCTATTGCCAGACCATTAGAATAAGCAATTGAAAAAACTGTTATTTCAAAGTGATAAATTTTAGTGCCCAGTGAACGGGCTGCACGTCTCTATCCTTTTGATTCTAGGTGGAATGATATCGAAACTTATCCTGAGTTGCTATCGTATAATTTTTTCCACGTTAGAGCCTTCAGTCTCAGTTTTGCTGCACACTTTATGGCAACAGACTTGCACAGTGTTCCCTTTTATAGACAGTAGCGTTTGTATGTGCATCTCCTCCTACTCAGCTGAGAGGACAGAAGGGAAATTCTGGGGAGAGCAGACTACGCTGTGGAAAGTATTTGGCTTTGTCGTGATGCAGCCTTCCTCCTGCTGGTGCTACTGTTGCTCTAAACAGCACAGCGTGGTGGACATAGACTTTTCAGGGCCACAGTAAATGTCTTCCTGAGCTCATGTTCCTGAAAACTTTTAAAGGAGAAAGTTTGAATTTCATGTAGTGCTTCTTAGAGTCATATTACTATGTATAATATAGCTTATAGCGAAAGGCTCAATCTTGCTTTTAGACTTGAAACAATCATGTTGCAGGGTTTTTTTTTTTAAATTAGCATTTTATTAAATTATGAGCATTGCAGTTGGAAGATGAAAAATTCTTTTGCTGTTCCCTATAAGCTACTATTTGAAATCTTCCTCTTAGCTCTATAGTGTCTACTCTCCTTGCGCTCATGGATGGACTGGATAATAGAGGTGAAATAGTTGTAATTGGTGCTACAAACAGACTGGATTCTATCGATCCTGCACTCAGGAGACCTGGTCGTTTTGACAGGGAATTTCTTTTCAACCTGCCTGATCAAAAGGTAAAACTTACAAAGGAGATTTATTAATAAAAATCTTTCTAGTATATTAAACATTTGAATGCCTCACAGCCAATCTTATGAAAAAACAATTTTTGTACTTGCATGTAAGGATTTTTCATTTTGCGAAGACGTTTTTAGTAAAACCGTGTCGAAAATATACATAAATGTGAAGAACTTTAAATCTTCAGAACGTTGTAAAAACTAAAAACATAGGTAAATTGTTTGCATTAAACTAAATTGCTTAGCTAAAAACTGTATCTTTGTATAGATTTGTAGAATGAGCCCTAAATGTTGCAGTTTTGGAGCTTATGTTAGCAGAAGGTGGCTGTATTCCCATGTAGACTGCTAAGCGTATAAAATTTCCATGTAAAACCAGAAGTTGCTATAGTGGCAATATGAATATTTCAGTTCCTTGTTCTACATTTTTATAAACTCAAGTTACATGAATTTATACTTGAAATGAATATAGTGTGCAAATTGATAGTATTTGGATTCTGGTAGAATTTTTTTAATGAAGTACTTTTGGAATTTGTGTACGTACTCAGACAGTCAGTGATTAATTGGTGAGGCATTTGACAGTAGAAGCTGTTAATCACATGTACAGCAATTAAAAATTCAATTATAAAATTATGATAATTCCTACTAGAACATAACTTGTGATCAGTTCATATGTAGTAATGGTGTTGATTACACAGCAATTAAAATATGTAACTTACATACTGAAAAATAATTGATTATATATGAAATTTGAAAAAGGCAGAAAAACTCCTTTTGTTCCTATGAGAGTTTGAGGGATAAGTTCTTTTATGTATTTCAGCAACATGTCAAAAAATACGTAAAATACTTTGATATTCATATGAATGCATATTTCTGTCTAAAACATCCTGGCATGAATTTGGCTTGCTAATTTTGAATTACTTTTTTTCTAATCAGGCACGAAAGCACATTTTACAAATTCATACCAGGGATTGGAACCCCAAATTGTCAGATCCTTTCTTAGGAGAACTGGCTGAAAAATGTGTTGGTGAGTATTATGATATTGGTAATTTTACTATAGATGCTTTCTTTCTTTTGTTTAAAACTTTGAAAGTATGTTAAATGTTTTCAGAATATGCATTATTTTTATGACTTTTAAACTTTTGTATTTTAGACAACGTTTTTTTGTAACAACAAAAAGTGCTTCTGGTCTCACTGAAATAAAACATGAATAGGTACTAGTTGTTTGAAGGTAAAATACAGTCATGTTTCATTTCTGTAACATCCACTGTCCTTCTAGAGGATGCGCACCCACAGAGAAGCAAAATGAAGTGAGAATTAGAACGTTTGGGTAGGCTTCCCGTTAAATTAGCGTACTGCAGATGAGATAGGGAGACATGTTTCTTTGTCTACACATGGAGGAAAAAAATCAGTACTTTTTTCTTCTATTTTTACTGAAACTGGCGTTTTATCCTCTGACGGAAGTCTCGCAAGCTAACCCACCCTTCCAAAGGCGATTTTTTTTTCCAGATTGCTAGCACATGACAAATACAGAGTATAGATATAGATGGGGAGGGGAAAAAGTAGCACCACATCATGAGTACCTTAAATATACCTTTGGACCTCTCAAAGACCTGCTGTACTGAATGGAGGATGGTTGTTCAACATAAACCTGCTACTGAAAAGCTAATCAGAAATAAAACCAAACATTTTTATAGTGAATTTAACAGAGGAAATGACCCTAAAATACCCACCACAATCTCCTCTCAACAATTTGTCATACAAAGATGCATTCTCTGTCAGCCATCTGCTTGGACAAGCGCTGAAGTTCTCAGAAAAAGGACAGTCTCAAATATCTGTACATTGGAATCCATCAGCAAAGAAATAAGAACTTTAAATTGAACATCAGTCCATTCAGTCAGCTACAGTACATCCGAATTATCCTCTTCATCCACAGGGACATCTATCATCGAAGCAGCATCCCTCCGCTTTTGATGCACAAAGACCTCAACATCTGCTGGTGAGGAGAAAACATAACTATCCAGCAAACTCCAATTTAAGCTTTGCCGGGTATAAGACAGCATGTGCCAAACCCATTTCATGTAAATTCTGCTTGATTTATGCAAAGCCCTGATGCTGCTTAGTGGGAGAAAGGGGAGCAGTTGGGATAAAAACAGTTATTTCTTTGCAACTTCACCGTATTTTTGCCTTGAGAACACAATTATATGTTTTAAAATTTCAGACCTTAGGGAAAGCCGTTTGTAGATCTTACTGGAAGACAGTCTGTGTGCTGAATAAAGCCCCTTAGTTCTGTGGAAAAAAATCAACTAATAAAAAGAAATGCTCTTTTCTGTTTTCCTTGGCTTTCCTATTGTCCAACTACTCTGCACTTGATTTTCTCCATTATGTATCTTGGAATTTAAATATTTCAATACATCCAAGATTAAAACCTTTTGGCTGTTACAAGGACTCTTTAAAGCTGTTGAAGTAAGACTAGCCTATCTTCTTCATCTTGAGATTACCTCATCGTTTTTGTGAGTGAAGTCTGCAGCAACTAATTGTTTACACAGGCTTTCCAAATTCTTTGCAGCCATGCAAATAAACCTCATTGGCCCACTTGTCGCATTGATGCAGTAGCTACTAGCCTGCTCTTTTCCTTTTACGTGCAGGTTTTCATTACCTTTAAAAAAAAAAAAAAAAAAGGGCCGCCTAGACTCACAGGTTTTTGGTACAGCATGGTTTATACCTCTCTCCAGTTCAGCAAAGTTGGCAACGCTTACAAACATACGGATCTTAATGAAGAGAAAGCTGAAACACTACTGAAGTAAATGACTTTAGGAAGCAGGTGTATGTGCAGCTTGGAACTTTTTAAAGTCAATGGGGTCCAGTTATAAGGAAATTATAAGGAAAAAGCCTCAGGACTCGCAAAAAGTAGGTTATTTTGCTAAGTGGATTTTTGCCCCAGGTGTTATGGATTGCATACGTTTTAGGAAATTTCTGTATGTGGGTACATGAAAATTAAAGAACCCACTTCACTGAATAGCCCTAAAACTGCAATGAATATGAGACAAAGTGAAGCAGCTTTGGGAGAACATGGAATTGCTCAAAAGACTACATGCTGATGTCATATTAGTACATTTAATAAACACAAGTAGTTACTGTATTTTATCCATGTAAGAAGTGCATACTGGAGAATGGGCCCCAGCTATCCTGAACTTTTATAGTCTTTGCTTATCTCTTGTGCTTACCTCTTTTTTTAATGATTGTTAACTTTCTCTAGGTGGAGAGACTGATTAACTCAGTCTATTAACTCAGGCTTGTAGGAAACAGAAGGTATTAGCAACAGAAAAAGCATGAACTCCTCCATCTGTCATCTTGCAGATGAATCTTTTCACAATGTAATGAGGGTTATTTAAGTAACACTAAATGGAATTGCAAAGAAGCAAGCCATCATGCTCAAGATGCTTGTTAAAAGTACTCTCTTCTGTGCTCATTGCTAGAGGAGCATTTTGTGACAAGATGATACCTTATTAGACTTTTCTTTCCCACCCTAGTAATAATGATAGAAAGGGAAGTTTTGACATTAGTGTTCATATTTTTTCACAAATGTGTGAAAGGCACGGTAGGTAGTTTTCATTTCTATCATCACACTGAGATGTCTGCTAACCTGCTTTCCATGCCGTCCATTTGGGGAGCTGCGCTGCCAAAACTGGAAGAAGTGGTCAAGGTTGTAAGACTTAATGTTTGACCTAGCTCAGCAGCAGTTTGTTGTAAATTTTTGGCATGCATAATAGGCAGAGGAGAATTTAGAAGGAATGTAATTGCTCCACAGTTGAAGTACAAGAAGGTAGCTTAAAATTTAAGTGATCAAAATATATTCTTTGGAGGGCTGCGTGGGAGCCTGCTTGTTTACTGAAAGTTACACTTTAAAAATACTCCGTACTGTGGTGGTGATAGGTAGGTGCCGCTTGGGAAGCGTATCAAGTTCTGCCCAAGTTGAGGTGCACCAGTACCTTTTATCTGCCAAATTAGATGTCCTTTCCAAAATGCTTCAAAAATGGAAGCAAAAGCAACTTAGTTTTATATTATAGTGTCAGTCTGGGCAAAAATAATTTCAGGTCCTTGGCTGTTGGCATGATGCATTTTATTTTGCTTTGACAGTGCTTTACTTGTGTTCTTCCTCCTCTTAATCAGTTTGCATTCATTTTTTAGCAACAAAAATCTCTGATATTTCACAAAATACAGGATTCTTGCAGTTTTCTTGTCACTGGAATGAATGTACCGCATGCACAAGAGAGTCCCTCTGAAAGAGACACCAATTATTACTCTTCAAATGTAATTGCTCCTGAGAAATGGGAAATAGAACTGGAGACTAATTGTGTACCTGATCACCTGAGAATTTAATTTCAAAAATAGGCTACAGGCTATTATTTCCTAATTTTGCAGTTCCATGGAGATGTACAAGCTGTGATTAAAAAGACTGTTAAAAGGTGGTATTACAGCATTTATTAATAGAAAAATTGGAAAGGACATAGCTCCTGAGCTGCTGGATCTTTTATGACAAAAATGCTAAACTAGTTTTTATGGTGACAGGCTTTTGGGGCAGTATATAACTTCAGTAGACGTTTGGTACAACAGCTTTGATTTAGTGTTCCCCCAAACTTATTTGTTTAATCCAGTATGCTTTTTATGTGGAAAGTGGATCAATTGAAACAGGAAAGTAATGCCTGATGTTGAAAAAATGAAGCAGAATTTAGAATAAAACATGGTTTCTAATTTCTCCGATACACCTGTAAGTACTGTCTGTAACGGGTTGTGTACTCACACATGGCTGATGGAGTGTGCCCGCGTGGTTTAGATTTCATGATATGGGGTTATTTTAAAAAAGAAATATAACCTTAGAGCCAAAAGTAATTAGTTGCCTAGTGGCTAATGAAGACGGACATGCCTGAACCTATTTCAAGACTGTCACGTGCATTTACTTCACGTTAAGGTAACTTGTGAATGTCTAGATTCTTTTGAAATGGCAATCACCGTGTGTACGCATCAAGTTTACACAATTATAGCTACCAACCTTTCTATAAAAATGGAAAGCTTAGTGTAGAAATTATCTAGTATTTTTATGATGATCTTCTGGCTGCGCTTTTTGAATTACATTCAAGCGTATGTGAGAAACTCGGGTGGAATTTTAAGTCTCCAGGCCAAGTAACAAATCTTTATATATGAAAAGTTGATATCTCTTCATATTATCCTCAGGACTGATATAACTGAAAGAGGAGGATGGAAAATTGTCAATCTCCCTTATTTAATTGCTTCCTGTTTTATTTTTCAATACTCTGTATACAGTTATCTTTGCTTCTTGTTTCTGTATGGGTCTTGTAAAAACATGTATGCCAGCAGCACTGACAGAGCAGCAGAGGACAGAAAGACGTGAACAAGGCAGGCTTCGGTTACAGGCTCAGGGCTGCCAAAGGACCAGTATCAGAGTAGAAAAAGTGCAGTCTGTGTAAGACAAAAAAGTTATCTAATGAAAAAAATTGATTAAGAGCAATTTTAATTAAGTAACTGGTGAATGGCTTCTACAAACACTTCTTTGCAAAGCCACAAACTTTTATATGATGGTAACATAGTGCAGCGTACTACATTTTCCTTGGAGTGACTTTAAAATTCTCTAAAAGAATTTTCCCAGCAGGAGTCATCTTTGGTAATTTTTTTTTTTTTGGAAAGATGGAACTATGGTACTGCAAAATACAGTGACATATTAATGTCTGTTGCTGAGAAATGCAGAAAAATACTGCTGTTTGCAATCTAATTTCTAGCCCTGGGGAAAAACCCCAAACCATTAGTACTGCACAAGAGAATAGGGTATTAAGGCTCTCGATATCATTGTAATTATCAGATATGTGGTTGTAAATAGTGACGATTAAGCGATTATAGGGTAGCCACCTGTAAACATTTAGAAGCTAGACCAAAGGAGAATTCTGGTGCTTTTTAGTAGTGTAGCTTTGCTACTCTCTTGGCTATACTAGTAAAATTACGAAAATGTAAAAAGTGTAGAAGGTTTTCTGGATAGTAAAAGTTAAGATTTCTCCAAGAGTCCATGGTATGCTTTTTCTGGACAGGAGTTTTCCTCTTGTCTGTATTCTTCTCATCAAACATTTTTCTTTGTATTGCTCATTTTATCGTTTTGTACAGATGTAAAATCAATGAGGCTCATCCAGTGTAGCAAAATTACTTTACTTTTTAAAAATACATTTGCGTAGAGATGTTAAAATGGAAGAGGAGGGGGGCTAGTGTGTTACCTCACATACTTCAGAGAATATTGAGGAAAAAGGCAGGGAGGAGACCGAGCTTAAGCTGTGAGGGGGAAAATACATTGCATATTTTACAGTGAAAACATAGGTCATTTTAACTTTCATGGAGGATTCATATCTTGCCTTATTTTAATGTAACTATAGAAAATTTCTTGATACATAGCATTGTCACTGTATTATGATTATTCACTAGACCTGTACCTTTTTGGAGATGCTGTGCGGGCCTTGACAACAAAGTATTACTGATAGTTTTTAGCTTTAGGCACGCTTGAAACGTATGCAGCACATCAGTGCTATTTCATGGAAGATATTTTGTGGGTTTTTTTGTGTGTTCTTTGTGCATTAGGGTACTGTGGAGCTGACATAAAAGCACTTTGCACTGAGGCTGCCTTGATCGCCCTGAGACGACGCTATCCCCAGATTTATGTGAGCAGTCAAAAACTACAGCTTGATGTTTCTTCAGTAGTTCTCAGCGCACAAGATTTTTATCATGCAATGCAGAACATTGTGCCTGCTTCCCAACGTGCCGTGACATCTTCAGGACATGCGTTATCTCCTGTGATCAGACCGTTGTTGGAACGTACCTTCAGTGACCTTCTTCAGGTTTTACACAAGGTGTTTCCCCATGCTGAGTTTAGCCAGAGTGACAAAAGTGAAGGTACGTGGCTTTGGGGGGTTTTGAAATTTTTTCCAATTTTAAACGCTACTTGCGAAACAATTAGCTTTCTTCTATTGCTGGCCGAAACCTGATGTGTATTTGTTTTAGTGTTATGTTTGTACATAAATACGGTTTTCTAAGATGTTACTTAATTATTTTTGCTGATTTTTGTGTTGCTGTGGAATTTAATAAACTAACTTATGTACACCAAGATCCCATGGGTATGGCTGCCATCTGAAAAAAGGAAGACCCCCAAGTCTTGAACAATTGAAATATGAGAAATAACAGGGCACAATCAGGTGCCATTACCTGTCCCCAGTCCTTTGTGTGTTGAGGGTGCAGAAACAGGGCCATGCTGCAGAGGAGGACGTCCATCTGAGGCTCTGCAGTGGTCATCTGCTGGTGCGAGAGCGCGTCCCGGTGCTTCCTCCCCTTGCACTGGCCCGATGCGCTTCTGATCCTGGGAGCTGATTCTGCTGCGTAAGCAACTTGAGAACTACTTGCTGTTTTCTCAGGTTAGCTTTCTGCCACACTAGTGACTGAAATCAACTCAGTAAGGAGTCAGACGTGTGCCAGAGCCCTGCTGCAGTGAGAGCAACACAAGTGCATTGAGGAAGCAGGCAGTCAGGGGAAGTGTGATAGTTTTGACTGGCAGGGAGTCAGTAGGTTCCGGTTTTTTTGTCTAGCTGTTCTCCGAGTCATACTTCAATGGTTATTCCTAGGTCATTTCTCGGAAGTTAAGGATTGAACAAGATATCTTGATTTTCAATATCTACTTATACTGACAAACTGGTTTTGGTATTTTTATTTGGGAGCAACCCCTGCCCCCACCCACACTTTATAAACAGTACTTGTGGTTGTGTGGGGTGAACTTTTGAATAGCCTGGCGTCATAAAGCAGATCTGTGACAGCTATGACTTTTTCTTTGCTATTCCAGGGCACGCTTTCAGACTGCAGGCCAGGCAGCTTATGGTGATCCTTGTGCTGGCTGATGCACTTTCACCAGCCCAGCTGTGCATTTTTGCTCCTATTCCTCGCACTTACTTTAGTACATGTCAGGTGTTTGTTAAACCATTTTAGCAGACAAACTCATCCAAAAATGATGTATTTTGGTTGGGTTAGTTTTCTGCTGACTATGGGATAACTGGAGCTTCCAATGAGTGTTGGAGTTGGCGCAGGAAGGGGCCTGGGAGTATGTGGCGGAGGGTAGGGGGAGGTGAGCTAGTAAGCTAGCCTGCAGCAGCTAGCAGCGAGATCATGTTAGGCTGCCTTGGAACCGTAAATTAAGATGCTAAAGTCCATGTATACTTTTAACCTATTGGTAATGCCCAATTTGAAGGCTATCATTACTATTAGAGTGTTGAATTGAAATGTCCCTGTATCTGTTGTAAAGTTCTAGTTCAGAGTATTTTATTGGATTATATTTTTTTTCTTCCCTGTTTATTCCTGCTTATAATTGCTACCAAAGTGAGTTTGGCAACTTCCAGTGAGTTTAATATTAGTTTTAAGAGATGATTGTGCTGCTGTAATGTAATGTTATGCATTTGTAGTAAATAGATTGAAGTTTGTTTGTAGATACTTGTTGAATATATAAAAATCAAAGCATCCTTTGAAACGTCTTCTATAGCTAAGTGAGTTTGTGCTCTTCTTATTTACTTAAACCAAAGAAAACATCGAATACCAAGTTTAATCTATGTTAAAACAGCAAAATGTGCTTTCATGCATAGTGATTTCAAATGTGAATGTAGATTACATTCCAGTCAACTGTAGGCAATAAAGAAAACCCTAAGGCTTCGTTTTATTTCTTGAATTTGGAGACAGGTACATGACACCTGCTTACCAGTGTAATTACAATCTGAAAGTCTTGTTTTCTCCTTGACTTTGCAGTTCACTGATTATTTCTGTTTCCTGGAGTTCAGTGACTCAGACCCACAAGCAAAGGATATCACAGAGGCTTGATGTTTGGCATTAAAAGATGGGCTGCTATGCTGTTAATAATCATGTATTTTAGGAAGTAGGAGCTGTGTCTAGTGCTTGGGCATAGGACGTACCCTACGGACTACGTTTGGTATAGCAAAAATTCTCCCCGTTTGGGTACTGCAGTGAGCCAAGAGGTAGGAGGCACGTATCTAGTTGATTTGAAGGTCTCTATCCTTACCCAGAGTTAGATGTCCAGCAGCTTCTGACCGAATATTTCCTGCTGTTGACTGGTTGTGGCTGCTGTTGGGATCTGCAGGCCTATTTGCATTATCCGCTCTCTCTGAGGAGCGATTGTTCAGGTGTTCAACTGCACTGCGCTTTGCCAAGAGGTACGGCATGTCCTCAGCACATTTCAGTAGAGCAGTGTTTCTGATCAGCCTGCCTTGAATCCAGTTTCTTCTGTCATTCAGGCAAATATGGGAACCCTTTGTCTCTGAATAGTTCCTCCTGGGGCCAAATGTCTAGATGCACGTGCCTAGATACTGTGGTGTTTTATCCAACAGTGTTAACGCTACTCTGAACTTGATTCATTGGTACTGTGGTTGCTCGTTTGGTCAGTGTAGCTGTCCGTATCTGTGCCCCAGCCTCATGTGGCTCAGGCAAACTATGCGGTGGGTCACATGTTGGAGAGTAACACTCGTATCACTTTGTATTTCACACTTTGACTTCACAGCAGTCCTTTTTTCTAAGCTGCTGGTGCCTGCTCCGCTGTTAGGACGTCAGTGGTCAGCTGCAGAGATGCTGCTGAGCTGCTCTAGAAACTGCCCATCACATTGCAGAACATCTTGTTGATCAGGAGACCTGGCCTCGGCGCTGCTCCTACCTGCCCACTGTATGACTCAGTGGCCGTGACCGTCTTGTTCCTGTCCATGCGGGCTGATTTCTGTAAGGGAACGAGCATGGCTTATTTAGGGTAACATCCATTAAATTCCTTTCCTGGATGTAAATATCTGGGGGTAAAAATCTTGGAGCAGTTTAATTTCCTTTTTGTAATCACAGCAGTCTACTCTCCAGTTTCATTGTAGCTCTGGTAGCTAATTTAGGTGTACCCCTTTGGAGGGAATGGGTGCCAAAAATGGTGTTTTAGTCCATCAGGAGGGTCCTACGCTGTGCACGTTTCTTTTGCCTTCTTAATTTTATCAGGTGTTTGCTTCAGCTCTCACAAAAGAGAGTTCGGTGGTGGCCAAGTCTGACCACCTGAATGCTCTTTCTGGCCACCAAATGGCAATGTTTAGTAATGTAATTTTCACCTATGTGGGTCTTCTGTCACCTGTGGGGTTTTTTTTTGAGGGGGAGGTTAAATGCCATGTTTGCTTTTTTTGTGGCTCTTTGCCCCTCTCTTTTGTTTCGAAATGCCTCTTTAGAAGTACTTCAGTGCATTATATTAATACATTAGCAAAGGGATTAAGATAGATTAAGGTGGAGAATATGAGCACAAAGTAAATTGAACTGATAGCGATTAAAAGGAGTCTGATATTCTTTGGCAGAAGGAATATATAGAATATAGAAAGCAATTTGTGTTTGTAGACTTGTATTGCCTAGTTCATGCTCAGCATAATTTTGGAGGAAGTGTACTCGTGAAAACTTGAGCACTTAAAGAAATAAATACAAAATTCTATGTTGTCAGAGAAATTACAGATTTTATAACTTTATCCTTGAAAAACCCTAGCAGTGAAATGAAACTAAAGGAAGCATTGCGTAATAAGTTAAAGCATGGATGTAATTTTATTGTGATAAAGTAAGTAACGTTTTTTGTATTAGTGAAGTTATTGTTCTGCTTGATGATTTTAAAAAGTAACTTGTATTTATGATCAGACTTCTGCAATACTTGATTTGTGTTGTTTTTTGAAGTAGCCAGTGTGTATCATTCTGCATTCTGATATTTAGACAGTTTTGAGTCATATTTTTCCTACTGTTAAAATGTATATTACAGTATATGAAGAAAATTCTAATATCTTTTCCTGTTTGTTGCAAGTGCACTTAGAAGTGGTAAGACTCTAATTAATGTATCTCTTGGAACAGATGTACCGAGTCTAATATTAGATGATAGTGAAGATGAGAATGCTTCGTCAATTTTTGAGACAAGCTGTCACTCAGGATCACCAAAGAAACAGACGTCAGCTGCTATACATAAACCCTACCTTCATTTTACAATGTGAGTGTGTCTCTACGTGTATTTAACTAGATAGATAAATCTATGAAATTCTTAGTTCAGCAGAGGCAAGAAAGATAACCTACTGCTTTGTGGTGACAGTGGTGTTCTGTAAGAGGAACACGTAAATGCACGAACAAGAGTTTTAGCTATGAGAATGGCCTTTGGAAAGGCCACATCTTAGGCATCAGGAAGCTTGCAACAGATAGATGTAGCTTAGAAGTAAGGATCTTAGCAGCAGCTCTCAGTTGTTAAAAACTCAGTGTTCATCTGCAAGAAAGAAACGGGGAGATATTTGGAAGTTCTTGGAGGGAGAGATTTAGAGGTTTGCTTTGTAGGAAACTTTACAATGTCAGTGTAGATTGTTTGTCTTTTCTTGGTCTAAGTCCTGTTATGCTTCAGTGTATACAGCTGCTTGGATGCGTTAGGTATTTAATGCATTCAGCACTTTTAATAGGATTTTTTTCTGTGTTTTTTTTTTATGGAAAGTTTCCGGGAGAGGGGAATTTAGAAAGTATGTGTGAAATCTGGATGAGTCTCCTCTGTATAAATTGAACTGGCTACAGTAATAAACTAACAGTAATAAACTAATAATTCCTCTTTTTTAATAAGAATAGCTTTAAAATATTTTGTGCAGATTCTTCTGGGAGTCTGTTCAATAAAGAAAAGTGAAGATAGGAGAGCCGTTTAGTAGTAGTAAAGTTTTGTGGAGCCATCTTGTGGAAAAGTGTAAAATTTGTAGTGCTGAAGAATGATGCCAGAGCAGCGTTTACAGTCATATGAGCTGAAAAATAATGGATTTAATTGAAATTCAGATAGTTTCAGTTCCCTGAGAGGTATATGGTCAAGTATGGTAATCCCAAATTTAAGTTTTTTTTTTCTTGGGGTGAGGAGGAATCCAGAAACAGTACCACAATGAATGTTTGTGTGGTTGTGTGTCTAAATAAAATAATCTAGAAGAGTTTATTTCTTTTTGTAAAGTATGTAAGCCTCAGGTGATATATTTTATTAAACATTTTTCATTGCTCTCTGTCTGTAACCTCTACCACCAGAACTGAAAAGTCGAAGGTCAGCGTCGTCATTGCAAAAGATTTAATGAATAATTAAATCAGCCAGTCTTGTTTCACTGCCCAAACTCAGTGATGTAGAGATAAAAATGGCTGAATGAAAGAAAACATAAATTGTAATTCTTTATTATTTTATAATCTATTTACAATAAATGGGAAGGACTTGTAATGGAAAACCTAACACACCTCTCTTGCTTTGTTCCCTCTCCTCCCCCCTGCCCCCAGGCAAAAGGAAACCCAAGCAAAAGCTTTGTATGCAATCCTTGGGATTTCTTTTTGACAGCAAAAACAAAAAATAAGTTGATGTATTTATATTTGTAATTTTTGCTTTAAAATCATAAATATCCTTCTGCTATCTGGAAGTTTACTAAATAGAAGCAGAGAATAGAATTTTTATTTTTAAATTAATACTGGACAGGATCCTAATTTTTTAATTCAGCAAATTATTGAAGTTTTCAGTTCTCTTTGGAAGAGTTGAGTAGCCCCTTTAAGGAATGAATGGGTTGAGCTGGTATTCCTGAGGCTGCTGAAGAACTGCTTTTATAGTTAGGCCTGCACTAGACATAATTAAATTGATATTTTCATTGGAACTCCGTGAAGTCTGTTCCCATTAGCAAGGAATCGGTTTTAAATAAACTGATTATAATCAAAGTTTGCATCAATTTAATGTTATGTGCATAGTTTTGCACAGATGAGGTGGAATAGGGCCAAGGTATATTAGAGTCAGCAAAATCTTTTTAAGCTGCCCAGTGGGAAACCATTATCTGTTATTTACAAGTCGTTTGCTTTCTAAAAACATAGCTTAGTGAAATGAAACAGCAGTTCTGGTGTATATCCATACATTGATAACATTGACATGTTAATTGTATTTTTTTTTTTTTTTTAATGTTATAGGTCAGCTTACCACCAGCCAACCTCTTACAGACCGAGATTACTGCTATCTGGAGAGAGAGGTTCGGGTCAGACTTCGCACCTTGCTCCAGCACTATTGCACACACTTGAAAAATTCTCTGTACACAGGCTAGATCTGCCAGCACTTTATTCAGTCAGTGCCAAAACGCCTGAAGAATCGTGTGCACAGGTAACAGTTCAGATTATCTCTTAATGAGTAAAATTTGTAATCTGTAGCCAGATTAGTTGCCTCTAAATAAAGGCAATTAGCTGACATGAAACTTAAAAGCCAGGTTTTCCCTCTGTATCTATATCTATTTCCCTCTATAACGTAGAGTTAAAAGAAAAGTGCCACCAGAGGGAGATTTAGAACTCTCTGCTGGCTTGTGAGAGTAATTAAATTTTTACCTTAACTCCTCAGTCAGGTGCGTAATGTCAAGTAAGATAAATCTGGGTATTTGGTTCCTAATTTTCATTTTTATTAGCTTGTGTATGAAGTGGTGTGCTGTGATATTATTACTTAATTACTTCATTTTATTTGTTTGTCAGTTTCAAGAAACTTTGTGGAGGATTTTGCATCGATTGCAGAAAAGCTAATTTTCATCTTTGTTTAGTGTTAACAAGTTTCTAAAACACATGTGACAAGAAGTTGTTTTGTAGTCCCTAGCGCCTTGACCTAGAATGATGGGATGATGCAGCTAGCAGTCACTAACACTTGTTTAGAAAGCCTTCATCACTAGATAATTTTATTTTACTGGAGCGTTTTTATATAAAATACCACAAACTTATGTCATTTTCCAGTCCACAAGAGTTTTATTTCTCAAAGGTTGATCAAAAAACTGTTTCTCAGTTTAAATACCAGTGTGGGTTTGTTTTTGTTTTTTGTTTTTTCCAACTAGATCTTTCGTGAAGCTCGAAGAACAGTACCAAGTATTGTTTACATGCCTCATATTGGTGATTGGTGGGAAGCTGTCAGTGAAACTGTGAGAGCTACTTTTCTAACTTTGCTGCAAGATATACCATCTTTCTCTCCTATATTTCTACTGTCTACCTCTGAGTCCATGTACAGTGAATTGCCTGAAGAGGTAAGTTTACTGTGAAAGAACTCATTATTAGAGCTTTGTGTATGTTTTCCAAAATGTTTTGATAATGTAAAAACATTCTGTTTTGCACTCTTTTTTTTTTTTAAACTTGATTTAAAATAAACTTGATTTAAAATATATCAAGCTGAAAATGTAATGTTAATTTAGTATCTGTAATGTCCTTCAATGAGGATATAGTTCCATAATACTGATTTTCATAGTCTCCATACTACTTTGCTGAGAAAACAAAATTTTTATCGGATGGCACTTGCTTTTTTTTTTTTTTTTTTTTTTTTTTTTTTTTTTTTAAGAGACAGCCTTTCTGTAAGGAAACCCATGACGGGTTTCTTCTCTGATCTACTGTTGAAGGTAGTGATGGAGTTCCAGTAGGACATCCAGTTATACACGTATAAGTCCAGAAGAGCCTGCTAAAGCAGCTGAAATTTGTCTGGACATACACTCTAGTGTAAATATGGATTTAGTTTAAAAAGTTAAATTTAACTTTACACCTTGTGAAATTCAAGATCTTCTGTATGGTGGTATTTTATATTTTCCCAACTTTTTATTAGATTTTTTTTTTTTCCTTTCCTTTCTCCTCTTTTCACTGCAGAGGTGGCCTTTGCTGGGTTATTGGACACTACAGGTTTAGTTATTACAGAAAATTCAGTGAGAATTACACGTATTCATTTTCTCTTGGCAGTGTACAACTTTGAGTAGAGCTTACTTTCTTATGACTAAATTTGAAAAGATTGTGACTAGTTTCTTAATATGGGTGTTAATAATCATGTAATTTTGAGAAGAGGCCCAATTTTCGTATGACGTTTTCTTTTTAGGTGAAATGTATCTTCAGAATCCAGTATGAAGAGGTTTTTTATATTCAAAGACCAAGTGAAGAAGACAGACTTCGATTTTTCAAAGGGTTAATTCTTGATGAGGCAGCAATGCCCCCACCAAGAAGGAAACAGGCTGGTAAACTAAATTACAGTAAAAGTACTAATAATATGATCTGAATATTTTGTTGTTTGATATTTTTCTTTTTCAAAAAGTTTGGGTAAATTACAGTTAGCATAATTAACAAATGATAGTGTATCAGTGCCAGGAGTAAATTTCTCACGTGTTACTTGGTGGGAGGATTGGAAGAGTTATGATTATCAGTTTTGAAAAATGGAGAGCCTTGTGACTAAAACTACATAGAGGCCTGATAGGTTAGGCAGATTAAATATACAGTGAAATACAGAATGTCATAATCCCAAGGTCCATTACTGTTACCATTTCCTTTGTTTGACTTCTTGTTTTTCTCCCTAGCTCTTCGTGCTATGGAGGTTCTTCCTCTTGCACTGCCATGTCCTGCCCGTGAGCTGTCAGAAACAGAAAAGCAACGAATGGAGGACCAGGAAGAGAACACATTGAGAGAGCTACGGTTGTTTCTCAGGGATGTTACCAAGAGGCTGGCCACAGACAAACGCTTTAACATCTTCAGCAAACCGGTGGATATTGAAGAGGTCTTGTTTCAGTAATGTGCAAACAATGAAGTTGTATCTATTAGAAAAAGAATATCAATTTAAAAAAGGAACGGATAAATTAACAGGCAAAATTGATATTTTATCCGTGATCTTTCCCATCTGGAATATTTATTTTAGGTAGGGAGATACTTATAACCTCGAGAGCTGGGGTGCAAGAAGTCAGGAACAGGTTCTTTGGCTGCACTGATGACGTCCTGAGAAAGCTTGCACGTTCCTGTCGGTTCTCCGACTGAAATCAGCACTTAAAGATGCCACCACTCCTATCTCTACCAGTGCTCTTAAAATATTTGAAAGCATAACTATCATTCTTAAGTGATAAAAGCTTTTACAACATTGTAATCTTCTAGGGATGATGATACCGGAAAAGTGATTTATGTTTTAAAAAGAATTGAGCATCAATAGTATTGGTAAACGATTTCACCACTAATGCTTGTGGATGCCATTTATCGCAGACGGTAACACATTGCAGGGCGTTAACTGGTTGATTGTGGAGTGTGCACACCTAACTGACGAGATTTGACCTGCGAATCTATTTAGGTGCTGGTATATGAAAGGGGTAGAGTTCAGCCTGGCTTTGAGATCAAATCCTGACCCACTGCAGACTTTGCAGGCCCACTAGTTAGAAAAAAAGTTTTTGCTTCTGAACAGAAATATCTCTCTTGAAAGACATTAAGAGACAAATTTGGGACATTTGAAGTACAGCATTGTAAAAAGCAGATTTGCAACGTAAATTCCTTTTAGGACTAAACAAATATGTTTTTATGGTCCCATTCAGTTGAAGTTTTTGGTAGTGTTCTGTAGCTGACTGTTTTTGAAAGACTGACAAACTGTCTTTAACATGACAGTTTATAAAGTAAGTACGGTCAGAGGAGCAACTGTTTGCTTTTTATTATGAAACTGCTTAGGAGGTCCGTTGCTGTAGGAAACTCTTCATGCTCATAGTGTAAAGACGGACTTTTTTTCCCCCCAGAGAGCTTGCAGTCTAAACAGACTTGACTAAGAGCCTGTAAAGAAAGAATTAATTACCATCCTTGTTTTGTAAATGGAGAATTGAAATACGGAGTTGTGATTCAGAGGCTTACCAAAAATTCTGCTAATATATGACAGCACTAGAAATTAAATATAATCTTCTTGGTCCCACCTGGTACATTAAGCAGAGGGCTATCCTTTCCTTTTGTACAAGAAGTCTGTCTGCTTGACTTTTTGAGAAAAAGTGTTAAGTTCGTTTTACTCCTCCTTGCATTGCAGAGAGAATGCTGCTATGTGAAAAGTCAAGGGTTTTTCTGACTAATTCAGCAGCAATATATACAGTTTCCAGTGAGGATTCTTTCTAATATGGAAAGAAAAAAAAGCCCGTAGCTTGACTTTCAGATCCCTGAACAAGTTAGCATAATCTTTCAGAAGTATATAATTTTATTTGTGAATATATGCTTCCATAGGGGAAGCAAAACAAGAATTTTTGCCATTTTAATTTTTCATCATGAAATGCACTGCATGCTTAAGGAATTAGATGCTACTGTTGTCCTCTGAAATAAAATATTAGTTTATGTTGTAATGTATTTTTGTTTCAGAGTCTACAGATATTTTATATATATTAAAAAAAAAAAAAAGGAAGATATCACTAAGGCTAGATCAGAATATGTATTCACTATCCAAATTACTTTTCAGTATTTTGGCAGCCACCATTATATGTGGGTAATTTCAAATTAGAAAAAGCAATACTGTTTCTGAGGCTGCCAATATTTTAACTAATTGTGATCTTAATCATACCGAAACATGCAAGCATAGGCTTATTTTTTTTTTTTCCTTGAAGGAGACAATAAATCCATAGGTATTTTGGTGAACTTGATTACAGCAGCTGTACTGATGCAGTGACTGTCAAACTTGAGCCCCGTCTGGTGCCATTAATTTTGTTAAATGCTTTTCAGTGCAGAGTGGTGGATGCCAAATCTCCACCTCTGAGCTAAGCTGAGAGTAAATTGTGAACTCTGACACAAGGCTTTTTATTTAGACTGTCCTTCTGTAAAGTCAGTGTTATGTCTTCAATCAATAATACCTATCTTGGTTACTGTACAAGTGATTATAGGAATTATTCTCCATGAGATATTTAAAAGTTGGTAATTTGACTGTTCAATTTAAAGAGAACTTTATTTACAAAGTGAACAAAATATAGCTTCCCTACTTTTAACTGAGGTTTTAAGTTAGGCTCATTGATTTTCATTTCTGACTCAAGGTAGTGTTATAACACTATACAAATATTTATATAAATGATAGTATAAATATATGACGTTAAAGGTACTTTGCCTCAAAAATACCATTAACTTCATGTTGAAGGACGAATTAGTGACTTGCTGAAGAAATAGTAACTTCAGAAGCTCTATGTTTTGTTTAGTCTGATAAAACTTTTCCATTTTTAACTTAAATTTATTTAGCAATCAACATGTTTAGCTAACACATTAGAACTAAGCATGTGGCCTGAATGTGAGTATAAAGGTGTGAAATTGGCAGTGTTTAAATGTAATATGTATGGTCCTGTGTCATTTCTGTGTGCTGTTTGATTATAGGTTTCAGATTACCTTGAAGTTATCAAAGAGCCAATGGACCTGTCAACAGTAATAACCAAAATTGATAAACACAACTATTTAACTGCCAAGGACTTCCTAACAGATATTGATTTGATCTGCAGCAATGCATTGGAGTATAATCCAGACAAAGATCCTGGAGGTAAGGGCCTACTTAGTTTTGGCCTACCTAAACTTGGAAGCCTGGTACGTAATCACATATTCAGTTACTGTTCAGGGATCTAAATAAACTGCATGTTGTGTAATAGGATAAACAAGTGAATTTCCTAAGGGTCTATGCTTTAAGTATTCTGAGGTGCATGGAACATCACAAGAACAGGAGAACTAAAGCGCATAAGGTTGTTTTCTTATAAATTAGATTTTGTAACTCTCTAAAATTTGGTAACTCCTTCTCAGTAAATAGAACTTCTGTATGTGCAACAAAAACCCATCATATTTTGGGAAAGTTTTGTAGAGAATCCTGCGCACAATCTGGCAGTGCTCTGCTTTTATTTGCACGTTGCCTTAGTGCATGAAATTCACCCTCAGAAAGTAAGAACTGTGTATTTGGAATAGAAATAAAACAAGATAAATCACCAAGCAGGGAGGTCTGTTGCAGTTTATTAGGAGGTATTGTGTTGACAGAGTATGATGGCATGCTTTCAGTTAAATAATAAAAACGAACTAAATAAATAAAACAGACTGAAATGCATATAAAAGCTGTTCACACCTAAAGCAAAGAAAAGAGCATCTTGTGTACTTACTGCTAACTCACCATTGCAGTGTCCTGGGGAGGTGGACGTTGTCAAAAGAAGATGTTTCAGTTGGCAGCTTCCAGGCTCATCAATAAAACATTTAAAATGCAAAAGTAATGCCTTTTTAATGTGTTTGTGATTATTATATGGGATACTTAAAAATCTAGGCCCATCTGCAAGTGTAGCGTTAAGAAGTTTTTCATTATATTTTGTGAAACGATGAAATTGTTTCATCATTATTGGCTGTTTTCCTGGCTTTTTTTTTTTTTTGTTTTTTTTGTTTTTTTCCCCCCCTCACTTTTCAATATTTTGGATTTTGTGAGGCATTTGCAAGTGTCCCTTACGTGGACTAGATATGTTCTAGTCAGGTCAAATCGAAGACTCTGACGTTTACCACTGATCAACAGTTGAGTTCCTGCTTGGTGAGGTGGTTTTGTTGCTAGACCTTGTTTCTTAGTGTGCTAACAGACATAGTTGAGCAACAGACCTGTTGTATATGACTGACATACGTTTGTGACTTATTCCTGGCCTTTGTGAAAGATTGGAAGTAAAATACAAGCTCTGTTCTCATTTTTAGGCCGTGTGGATCTGTGGGTTTGGTTATTTAATTCTAGGAAACGTAATCTGAAGAGGTCATTGAAGTTGTAGAGCAGGTGTTGTGTGACTGAATTTCTGAGATCAGATCTGCACAGGACCATAAACTACGTGAGCTGCAGGTTCAATGTGGCGGAAATGTAAAATAACAAAGCAGCTTGGGAACGTTTAGAGGCAGAACTGTTCTTTGAGCTTGTCCGAAGAGGAAAAGTCCTAGGAAATATGTTTAGAGAACCAGAAAGGAGGTGTGTTAGTTCCTCCTGCCCCTTGGGTCCGAGCTGGAGGAAACGATTCTAGCTATTTCTAGGTTAAGTGTTGGATTGGAGTTTCTTGTCCTTAAATCGGAACTGGAAGATAGTTCTGTCCTCTGCGTTGTCACAGATTGTCACCGTGTTGTGAGGAAAAACTTCCGTTCTTCCTCTTTTAGCGCATAAAATTCATTGACAGAGTTCTTGTATATAGTGCACTGCTGAAACAGCCCGTAACTTCTGTTCGGAGCAAGCATTACTTGTGTTTCAATGCATTAACTGTTTGAGTAGTAACCTGTGAGTGTTCACATTCTTTTAAGGCTTGCTTCTGCTTCGTGCATGCCTTTTCAGAAGAATGATACTGTACTTGATTCTGTCCTAGTGTTCAGTTTGGAAAGGCAGTTGGAGTACCAGACTAGTTGTTTTTAAATGTAGTACACCTATTCAGAACTGGCTTCTTTATTTTCCTAGTACTCTTGTAAAACTTCAGACATAGAGTATAGAAAGATATATATATATATATTTTTTCATTCCCTCCATTCTTTGACCAGGAAATATTCTGGAAGGCATGGAAACGTAACCATTGTGCTTTGGACACATTAGTATTTGCCTCTTTGAAGAAAGTCTCACCTGTCACAGGATCTGAGGAAATCAGTAATTCAGACAGATACTCTCTTCAAAAGATCTAAGTCACTTTTTACCCTTTTTGGACACTGTCCAAAATACTTGCCAGTAAGGAATACATTATGCTGTGGTGTTTTTTTTGTTTTTTTTTTTTTTTTAGTAAAGTGGATTGGTCTAAACTTGGCAAACTACCTCTATAAAGTTTGATACAGTATAGTCAGTGGTATAGAGCTTTAGTCAGTCTTTGTTTTGTTTTGTTTTTTTGTTTTTGTTAAGCTTTTTTACTTGACCAGCTTTCCAGAAGTTCAGTATCGCACAAAGAATGAGAGTGTATTTTTGTGGGCATGGTGGACAGCATAATGCAAAAAGGTTCAAAAATATATACAAGTAAAAATTTCTATCTTCCAGTTAACCATTTAATTAAGTGAGGATAGATTTCCTGAGAAAACAAAGCCTAGGGCTCAGCTGAGCTGGATACTGAGTATTGTTTTTGACTCAGTAGTTTTTCCAGCTGTAAAATTTGCTGTTTCTACACTTAAAAAGCTTATTTAGTAAATATTCACTGATATTGTTAATTGTTGTCTTCAGTGATTATTCAAACAGATTAAATCTGCTAATTGTGTAATATACTGTAGACATTAATGTTGATGTTTGCTGTTGAAGTACCTGCATCAGCTGTAAAAAGTAGTTCAGTATGGATAAATTGAGAAATTAAATATGCTTTTACTAAAAGCAAACAATGAGTGTTGTAGATTTGGTTGAAAAGCAACATTATAGATGTCAGTTTTCGCCCTATGTGGGTTTACGTATTAAGTAACACTTGCTAGTCAAACTTCAAATACTTAACAAACATTAAAAGAATTTCTTTGGTGTGTTTTGAAGATGAGTGAACTAGTCTTCTCTGAAAATATGTTTTCTAATATGTCATACTTGGACTTTCAGTGTGAGCAATGTGTTCTGTCCTGTTCCCCAGACAGATAAGAAAATGTAGAAAATTTCGAAGCTTATTTCTTGCCAATTTTTCTCAACAAATTAAAATCTGAAACAGCTGTTTAATATCAGCAATAAAATCTGTTTAAGCACAATTTTGAATCTTCTAGCATATTGGTTAAATAAAAAGTAACCATAAGTTAAGATTAAAAAAGAAAAAACAACCCACAGGTGAGGGAGGTAAGCCAGGTCTACTTTGCAGATTCAGAGGCTGTCCAGTATGATTTTACTAGCAGTGTAGTTGTATGAATGTTCCTAACCTGAGCTGTAAATTAACTTCTGGATAAGTCTGATGTTACTTGGGACTCTCTGCACTGTATTCCACAATGCTGCGTAGATCTCCCTGTGGAAACTGGCTAGAAATGCTAATTCTAGCAAGTTCCTAAGAACTGCAAGTTGATTTAGGTGTGTTCTTCATCCACCGTTTGCATTTGTTTAGAAATGCCACCATTGATTAAAGTGACAATTTGTACTTCAGAAAACTCCTTTCTCTCTTAAATAGCTGGGTTGTGATTATTGAGCATGCTATGATATTGATCCGTCTATATTTTCATACCTTTATAGATTTTTCTAGTTACTTCCATGCATATCAGTGCAGTAAAATACAATACAGAACTACATATAAATGATAAAGTATTTACATAAATGTGATAAAACTAACAAGTGTTTTGTCTTGTTTTCTAGATAAAATAATTAGACATAGAGCTTGTACTTTGAAGGACACTGCTCATGCTATAATTGCTGCTGAACTGGATCCAGAATTTAATAAAATGTGTGAAGAAATCAAGGAAGCAAGAAGAAAAAGAGGTACGGTAAACTTTATTTATCCTAGTGTAAAATACCAGGTTAAGGAATTATTGCAAGTGAGCGTGTGGGATAAAAAAACAATTTACGAATGTTCATATGAAAATTTAAAACGAAAAATGGAATCCGTGTTAGACACAGGCAGAGATATATGTTAAAGGATGACTGAGCTTGACACTTAGGTGCTTTTTCCAGCTATATGAATTGGTCTGATAATGCACCATCCTTTACAATACTTGGATTATCTGTTGGTACAAAAAATACTATTTAACACAGTGAATGCATAAATGTTTGGAATGCTATGACACTTGACTGCTAGTTGAAGAGGTGGTGAAGCCAGAACTGTATTTTTAAAAATGCCATGTAATGCAATGGAATAACAGTTATAAATAGGCATTTGAAACGGTGGATTTTCAGTTCACCCTGGCATGTGTACATGCGTATTTTTGGTGATAATCTGCATACTTTTTGGATCAAGAAGAGTCTGTTTAATCCACATTGAAAGGGACGTGAAGTTGACAGTGAGGTTTAGTAACCCGAGATAAGGAAGAATGGTCCCCTCCATTGGAGGAAACACTGACTTAATTTTTGTTTTAATTACTACAGTTGTTCTCAACTTATAGTCCATAGATCTCCAAGTCTGTGGACAGCTTCTGAGGTGTTCATGAAAGGTAACCAAAAACCCAAACATGCTACCAGTAGGCTTCTGCTGACTTGAAAGATGTTTCATGGAAGGTTTTTCAAGTTCTGAAATGGAAAAAGGTTGAAAACCACCAAACTATAGCCTTAGAACAAAATTTCATATTGATTTAAGGCTTTCTGATTTCGGTAATTCCAGCTTAGCCTTTGGTAGCTTTTTTCCTGCTTTGGTAAAGAAAACTGTCTGTTATTTCTAGGTTGGACTGGTCTTAACTTTTCGCTGTTGGTTCTTCTAATGCTTTCGTCAGTGGGCTGAAGACCCTTCATTACTAACATCTTTTAACTATGCAAGTGTCTTTAGGCTTTTTCTTTTTTTTCTGTTTAAACAGATATAGTTCCTTTTACTTTCACGTTGCCGTGCATTTTTTGTCTAATTCTGCACAAGCTTTCAGTATGTCTTAAATTGTGGATAAGAGAACCAATTATAATTCACTGTGGATGTAAAGTAATAATATAATGCCTTTGTTTCTCTTCTGTCCTTTTTTATTAGAAGTACAAGAACGTTCTTAATTTTGGTCCTAGTGTCACACTGAGAGCTATGCTAAGCTGAGTCTCCTTTATGAGTCCCCCATGATTGTTAAAGGTTATTGCTTCCAAGGTTAAAGTAACTGTGCTTAAGAACCCTTTGTTATATTACAGAGGGGGACTATATAGTTTGTAGTCCCTCCTTGCAAGTCTCTCAGGAGGTACCTGGCATGCTGCTCTTTCTTTTATGGCAGTGACAGAATAATATATATTTTGGGCCTGCTGACCCTGGTACAAGAGCTGAGTTTTCAGAGGTTGTGCATAAGGCTGATGGTGTCATGCTATGAGCTTGTTCCATCAGAAAAAGAGGATACTGCTGGTTTCGGATGCTGGCTAGTGGACTTTCATACTTGGACATACGACTAGCAGCACCAGTTGTTTGTGACCAACAGCAGCTCACATATGATAGTGAATGGATAATATACTAGTGTTTCAAAGATGGTTGCAGGTGTTGGCATGGAAACTCAAGTGTCACAGGTACCTGCTAGTTACGTTCCAAAGATGCTTGTGCTTTTGGACCACGTGGTTTCATGAACAAATGAGCTCTGATCCAGGTATAGACCATTGAGGCCTATATCACCTACTGGATTAGCAAGGAAAAAAGATTTGGACTGCATGGAAGAAGTCTACGAGATGATGAATGAGGAACAGTACATCCAGCTCTTGAGGTCTGAAGAAAACTCATGCTGCAAGGCAAGCCCAAGAGGTTGCCCTATCTCTGGAGTAGGAGCTGTGTCAAGGACTGTGGTTTAAAACATCAGGAGGATAGTACTTTAGGCATGTAATCTTGGCACGGGTTCTTGTAAGCAAGGGAGGGATGCGAATGCTGATCAACCCTGTCATTACTCACGTTTTGCCCTAAAGAGTATGTTGCTCATCACAACAGGTCAGCGAAATCACAGTGCATCTGCTAGTCTAGACTTATGACGCAGTTTGGTCCTGTTTGGAACACTTTGGATGAGAGAAAACGAAAGCATCTCTTTACCTTTTCTTCTTTTGATTGGAGGTCCATGAGGAAATTAAGGGAATTTGGATTTCTTTTTTTGGATTATCAGATGGTCAGATATAGAAGTGAATCCCCAAGAAGCCCCTCCTTCCCTTCTGTGTTATCTATTAGTTTCAACAATAAGAAACTGCAGACTCCAAAAAGTATATGGTTTTTTGTTTTAATTTACCAATTTTGACAGAATTTGTTATCCTTAGATTTCCATTCTTTCAGCACCACCAGTTATTTTCAATGAGCTGAATGTGTCATTGTAGTGGAAGTATTTGAGGGAAACTTTAAGTAGCGTAAACAATACCTCTTGCTATCCAGAAGCTCTTTCCACCTGGTCCACCTAAATGCAAAGGTGGTTGTTCATACCAAGCTTTTTGCCTGAGTGGAGCCGCCCAGTGAAAGCAGCCAGCCTGCATGAGATAAAGCACAGGGAATTCAACCTTTAAGTACTTATTTGTAACATTCACAAGAGAGGTTCAAACGGGCCTTAAATGATTGTTGGTACTGAGATAATAGATGAATGTCTACTCTGTTTTCAGCTCAGAATACTTGACGCTTCTCCTTTTGACTTCCTTTAAAAGTGCCAGAGTGGGACATACGAAGTGTGATTTAAACAAACAAACAAACAAAAACTAACCAAAACAGAACAAAGCAAACTCGGGAAGAAAAATATGCAGTGTCTACATTTCTCGGCAAGTAATTCTGGACTAAGCTTGATAAGGGATTCTATTTTCCAGCCTTATCAGCGTTAAAATCCTTACTGTGCCAAAAGGATCCCTGTGGAAGAAGGGGAAATAATGCAAACAGTGGACAACTTAATGCACCAGATGAACAGAAGAAAAAAAAAAAAAGATTTATTGTGAGAATCTGCTAGGAGTTCTTGGAGTGGACATGAAACTTGTATTCATGCCTGCTCAGAAGAGGTTAAGGTGGTGTTGCAGTCCCAGATTGAGTCAGAGTGGGTGGCTATGGCCTTCAGAAAGATTTGTCAACCTGACAAATAAAACCCAAACTCAGATCTTAACCAGTGTTTTTTTTGGCTACATTTGGAAAGACTTCATAATTCAACCTGAGATTTGGATGGAATTGAGCAAATTGGTTTGTATGAGGCTCCTAATTGATTCTCTGGAAATTTTATCAAGCGTTACTGACCTTGAGTCATAGAGGAGCTGGAAGCCAAGTGGCAGCACACTGTGTGTTTTTTTTTTTTTTCTTTTTTTTTATTTTTAATAATTTGTCCAGTTACAAAACTGCTAGTTTTCTGAGTCTGCCCCATTTATTAGCTCATTTGCAGGAGTTGCTGGAAACCAGAATTAAGGCGAGAAAGCTCCATATACATTTCCTTTACATAAACAGCTCCATATACATTTCCTTGTTCTCTGGACAAGTTACTCAGCAATCTTACATAGCACTAAAATGGAAGGTATTTTCTGCATCACTTTCTTTTTCCTCAGCTGCAAAACAGATGTATCTATTGAATAAATGCACCTCTTCTGTATTTTTGTCAGATCTGCCTTTTTGAAGTACTGAGACTGGTGACCGGTCTGAAAAAAGGTAGTAGAGAGTAAGAGTATGACAAGCTGTATAGTAAAATTAAAATCTAGAAGTTAAAATAGAATTTGTTGTTCCTGTGTTACAGGAATGAGGTATTGTTGTTGAAAGAATGGAAACTGAAGGAGGACAAATTCTAAGGTGGTGAATTAAAATCATATACTAGATTATTGGAATTCAACATTTTTTTTTTGTTGCAACCAGCAGAGAACAAGATATAAGTGTTGGATAGAAGTATCTGAGTAGCGAAATATAATTTCGATACATAGTTTAAAATATTTATAAAGATACCTATGAGCTTATGCTTTGCAAGGCTGTGAGGTGAAAGTTTCTTTATGAATCTTTAAATTTCTACATCCATTAGTTTAGAGCTTCTTGACTGCTTTTGATCACTTGATTCTGGCTGCTATTGGAGACGTAGTGTGACACTTAGACTGCAGCAGAGGACAGATAGCAAATCTAGTTCATCAGTACGATACCTCAGAGATGCATTTATATCTTTAAAATGTGCCTAATATGAACATATACACTTTTAGAATTTAATTAACTTCTACCATTTTATCAGCTTTTTACGAGATGAACTTATGTTACAGAAAGAGCAAACTTGACTTTGATAAAAACAGAATCACATTTTCCTCATCAGAGCATTCATATTGACTCTGAAATGGATCCATTTTACAGTAACGTAAATTATGGTGACTGAATTTTCTTTCAGATACTCTTTTTCACATGGAATACGGTGCCATTATGAATGGGTGATTATTTTATGTCATCCATTTAAAATTGGGAAAAATTGCTATATAGAGGAAACATAGATAAGAATTTGGTACGTAGAGAAAATATGGATAGAAGAGTGCCATGTTTGGGGACAAAATATGGGAGGCAATAATATTTTTATAAAAAGCCAGAGCTGACAGTTTTAAGATCACGCTACCAGTAAGTTATTTTGTCAGTAGAAAACATATATTCTTGATTCTAATCTTATTTTTGAATGTCTATCTAAATACTGATTGATATATTCTTACTGCAGCACAGTATTCCAAGTTTCTTTTTAAAATCAGTAGGTTTATGCAGCTTGGTTTATTTAAATAGGTATGGTTATCTTCTGTATGCAGGCTTATCGGTACCAGCAGAACAAATAAATCCTCATGGTTCCACTGTACGGAAAACAGAAGCTAGAGTCGAAGAGGCGTTTCGGAACAAGCAAAAACCCACAATGGCGGTCTGGCCCAACTCTGCAAATAAATGTGCATGTGAGTACCTTGGGTGATATTGTGCAAAAGTAGAGGTATTGCCAATGGCAAACATTTGGTATGTGTCTGTAGTAGTGTTTATTTGTATTATCCATTTTGAATCATGATTCTTGGTAGACATAATTTTAGGCATGAAACTCTTGCAACTTCAAGACATACCCTTTCTCCAGCTACGTTAAATCTCTGCCCAAGTAGTGGTAAAGAAGTGGGATTTGAAACTGTTTTTTGTAATATAATATACAAGTATTAATTTTTCTTTGAAAAAAGGCTATTTTCAGCATAACACAACTCCAAGCCAATGGGAAGATCATGTTTATCTGTGTGTTAAGTGCAAGGTTTTTGTTTTCTGTGTGTGTATATGTTTCACGGATACATAGCTAGATGCTGTATTATGTTCTCACGCTAGTTATTCCCTTCCTGTCTGCAAGGTATGTGGTATTACGCTAAAACTTAGAAAATAGGCTACAAATTGAACTGTATTTTTTTTCTTCATGTCACCTATTTCTGAATAGTCAGTATCCCTTATTGAAGGATGTTAGATATGCTCGATGCAGCCTAGTAGGTTCCCTCACAATTCTAAAAATTTTGACTGATTAATTGGGGTATGGTCACGTGTATGATTGTCTAACTGTGGTGTAGGTAGTCGGAGGTGCTGTTATTGTCAAGAAATGAGTTGATTAGAGAGTCAAATGCAGTACAGTAAGTGTTGTAACAAACAAGAGTAAAGACTCTGTAAGAGAAGGTGTGTGTGAGGGATTCAGCTGAAGATGTGGACTCTGCTATTAGCACCAAACTAGAATTAGATGGCTACTTAATGGGAAATTTGATAGATTGGGGCACAAAAGTTTTCACTGGTCTTGTCCTCTGCCCTGTCATGCTTTTTCCTAGTGAGAAAGAGTTTACTGAGCATGGTAATGACTGCCCAGAGATGAACATTATTTAGATATGGACAACAATATCAATATCAAATAGTTTAATGATTTATAGGTGTGTGGTTTTATTTCATGATGATGTAATTTCTTGCGTTTAAGGAATCATAAAAGTCAGCCAGAGTTATGATTTCACTAAATTGTTGCATAATAAATTGATGATTTTTTTTTTTTCTCATTTGCCTGCTTATGGAAAAATAGAGAGAGTTCTCAATGTTTTTGGTGTCTAATGACGTCTAGGATGAAGATTTTCACTGTGGCTGATCTGCTGAGCACTTTCTTGGCTCTGCTGGGTTGTGCAGCAGTCATCTTAGACCTCCAAGCCAGACTTCTCCTGAAAAGAGAGGTAGCAGTCACTACTGGCTGTATAAAAAGCTCTGCTGCCTCTCCTCTTTTTCACCTAGTTTTGTGGATTCAGTGGTAGTTGTTTGAAGGCCAGAGCCATCGACTGAAGAAAACTGCCAACTTCCTGGTGTGTAAACACAAAAGGAGGTAGCGTCAAGGCAACGTTCCTGCAAGTATCTCAGTGGTTTGGGTTGGGAGATGAGAAAATGTGGGGTCTGGAACTACATCAAGTGGAAATCTGACTTTTCAGGATGAGTCAGGGGCAGGTATGGAATAATGGGAAGCATCTGATAATCAGAAGAGAGAAGCAGGAATCGATGAGTAATCAGAATTTAGTGTCTGAATGAGCAGCCTCAAATCTGCAGAAGGGACTGAGAGGAGTACATGGGTATGCCTAAAGATGAATGCAGAAAGTTCAGTAGAGACGGAAGTTGGGAAGAGATGTAGAATCTAGAAAGGGAGGTGGTGGAAGGAACTAGAATAAAGCAAGAGCAGAACAAAGCAGATGATCAGGGAGCTCAAATAGCAAATTTTATACTGGATTGTGATCGTGTGCATGAAAGGAACTAGTTTAGAAAAGGGATTTCAGAACAAAGAAATGACTTTAGAGGTAGAGTGGAAATTTTTTTTATGATCAAGGACTAATTTTTTTTGAAGACTCAAATGTGTTTCACAAGCGGAGTAATAAGGACAGTGATTCATGTACTTTAATTACATGGGATAAAAACTGTGTTTTCCAATTAGTAATTCCGAAAATCTTCCTTTTTTTTTTTTTTGGATTGTTTTGCTATTTGAACCTAAATTCAATTTTTTCCTCAGATAATGTTTTTTTTCTGGCACTGGCTAGTATTTTTATCACCAAAAACATTATTTTCGTGTTTAAATTCCTTTTTTTAGGAGCTTCACTTACCATATTTTAGAGAATAGCTGCAAAAAAGCCAATTCTTATGAAACACTTATTTGAGAACCCTAAAGAAAATTGTCAGGCATCTTCCCTAGAGACACAGTGGACTACAGGTAGTGCAACAGCTTTGCCTGATTTTAAGCTGTGACTGTTTAATATTCAGGGCTAATATAGCAGAGAATCAGAGAAGGCAGTTGATCGTGTATTGCTTTACATTCCAAGTTTATGCATTTTGTATGAAATTGTTTAGATGTTTAGTTACCTATTGCTTTGTGATGTACTGTTATGCTATTCATTTTCATTTTGCTAATGTATTTTAGAATTCTTCTTTCCATTTGATTAGAGCAAAGGGCGATCTGAAATGGGCATAAAATATGCTGCTCTATTTGAAGATACTATGATAAAAGTTCCTAAGTTAGGTGTAGTCTACAACTCCCATATCACTGTCCCTAGTTGAATATGCACCAGTGGTGGAGCGTGTATCACAATATAGATTAGTTTTAAAAGTATTACGTTACTAGCAGTTGCTAGAACTTTTCTGAATGAATTTTCATCACAGATGATTTAAAATATGTCAGTAATGACTGTGTATTTGGAAAGAAGTGGAGGGGCTGTGGTGGGAATGTAGAATGGTATGTAGGTCGAAAGCTGTCAGAGGCAATAAAAGTAGCTGTATGATCACAGAACAGTTGAGGTCAGAATGAATCTGTGGAGATCATCTAGTCCAACCCCCTGCTCACAGCAGGGTCAGCTAGAGCAAGTTGCTCAAGGCCTTGTCCACTTGGATTCTGAATATCTAAAGGTTGGAGACCCCACGACCTCTCTGGGCAACTTGTTCCAGCATTCAACCATACTGACAGCAAAAAAAGTTTTTTCTTGTGTTGAATTGAATGTCTTGTATTTCAGTTAGTGACAGGACTAGAGGCAGTGGGCACAGACACCACTGAGAAGAGTCTGGCTCTGTCTTTTTGTGTATGTGTGTGGAAAAGGAAACTATTGGCAATGTGCAGTTTTGTATAGCTAGTAAATTAGTCGTTTCTAAGTGGTTTGGATGCACTTCAGCATGCGAAACATTTAGTGTCTCTGGCTGTCATGATGCTATATAGTAAAACTTTGTCCTACTCCTGTATCTTGCCAGTAGATGGAGTATGTAGCATGTTATTGTACTGTCTTGTAGTTCCTTAAATGTTATGTGTAAATGAACTGTATGGGGAAGATTTGCTTTTCCATTCTTATCTTTTTTTGCAGTATTCAACAGTAATGTATTGTAGTGATAGACTACAGATTGTGAATTCACAGAAAAGATTTCTTTTATGTGGAATGATAAATGTGATAGCTGTCACATGTGAAAATGGCATTTGGAGCAAGAAAAAGTTCAAATATTTTTTGTTATATGAAATATTAGAAATCTAAGTTTTAGATAAAAATAGATTTTGTGAAAACCGAAGTAAACGCGTTGCTGACTTTCCCCAGTAATTGAAGTGATTAGTGGTCTCTATACAAGGTACTGCAGGGAGATCTAACAAGAAAATAAAAACCACTGCAGAAAACCTAGTTCCCAAATAAATGGTATTGAGCGTTCTCTTTTGTATCTTTAGCTAAACGGCCATCTCTGCTATTACATGCAAATATATATTTCTACTTTAAAATGGAAAGGAGGTTTTGTTTGGAGGGAGTGTTTTTTCCAAAATATTTTTTTTTCTTTTTAGAAATCTCCTCTCTCAACTAAATCACAGAAGTCAAAGAAATGTCAGTGATCACTGTACTTAGGGCATGCAGATGACTGCAGTGAATGTCTTATCAAAGGACATGGCAGAGCAGATATCATTTTGTTTTTTTTAAATGCAGAAAGTGTTAAAATAGTTAGGACCTAGTTCCGTACCAGTTATCCTGGACTCTGGATTCTGGCCTTTAATTAGTCACCTAAACGCTAACATTAAAATACTGGTAGCTGCTCACGTCCAGTCAAAATCATGAATCCTGCACTTGCTACGTTTTTCTTTTCTTCTTCCCTCCAAAAAAGGTATTAATTCTTACAACGCTCTTGAGTTGGAGGCAAGTGCTGAGACTTGGCAAACACCATTCAAAATGATTTTGTGGAACTTGAGGATGTCTTCACTAGGTGCTCAGACAACTATCTTTTTTTCATTTCTTAATTATTTCTTTCTTGGTAGTATAGATGTTCTCATCCTGGATGAGAGCAATTTGCCAGCTAGTCTGATCTCCTGTTTCTGACTTTGGCTTCAACGGGGTGCTTTAAAAGGAAGTTACAAAAATCTGACAAATGGAAACTATGGATTGCCTGGTTTTGACGAAAATGGCCCTCAGTGGTTTTTGAGTTGGTCAACGGTTGTTTTAAACCCATAGGCTTTATAATTCTTCTGATGTAAAACCCCATTTAGTGAATTTGTGGATGTTCTTGTAAATCCTGAGTGCCTAATTCTTTTTTTGGAATTCCACCAAACTTTTGGAGTCAGTGATATCTAGTGGCAAAGAAGTCGTCTTTGATAGCTACTGAACATGCTGCCTCTTGAATTAGTTGAATGTCTTTTTGCTTTGAGGGCATACAGAACCCTACGATTTACCTGATCTGTACCTGCCTTTCATATACTCCGTTTTAAAACCTCATGTTATTCATACCCCTTCTAACTCAGTAATCCAAGATTGTTCAGCTGCTCTTAATAAGGAAGTTTTCCTGCAAGTATTATGACTGCTTTTATTATAAATAGGGTTAAAAAGAGAGGCTTTGTAGAAAATTGTTTTTTTCTGAGTTCTTTTGTTAAGATCTATTTTTTTTTTTCCTACCATTGAGTGCTGCATAT